TCAGCAGATGGAAGAGGGGTGTCCTGGGGCGGGGAACGTTCTGAAGCTGGTCTGGGGACTGGTCACGTGGGTACACACAACTGTCAGAAATCCATATGAACTCATATCTGTGTATCTTATTGGGAATCAAGCTCCATAAAAATTAGGAAATGGGCAAATTTAGAAAATGAACAAAATGGAAGATTTAAAAATAGAGCGTTGGGAAGAGGGTGTTCTTGCTCCAGAAATGCTCCCTACGTGTTGTTTGTGCACTATTCCATTGAACAGCGGGCCATGGAGATGCTCGGAGGTTCTGCCACCCTGTACTCAGGACCAAAAAAAAAAAAGATAATAAGGCGCGTTTATCGCGAACCCAAACAGGAAACCCTGAGGCAGGAGACGCGATAGGGCCCATCGGGCACATGGACAGCGCTCCGGGGCCGTGGCGGCGCCCAAGCCGACCGGTACTCGAGGTTGCGGGGGCCGAGATCGCGCAGGGGCCGCAGCCGACAGAGCGGCCCCGGGGACCGTGCGGGGAAACCGACGCGGGGGCGGCTGGGGACTGCCGTGCGCGGGGTCAGGGGCGGCTTCTCCTGGGCCCGGCCCCGCCCGACTGACCTGTGACGCTGGCCCGGGTGACGCGCTGCACCACAGCTTTCATGGCGGCGGCTAGGGCGAGTGGGGCGGCGCCGCGCTCCTTCCAACCTCGCGACTCTGCGAGCGGCTCTGCGGCCAGCGCCCTCTGCGGGTGGCACCGGGAAGCGCGCCCGGCGGCCCTACCGGACCAGGTTGGCGATGGCCCGCTGTCGACCACGCCCACCACAGGTCGGGCCCGCCCACGTCGGGCGCGCCTACCTGACCTCCCTATAACTCCGTTCAACCAGGGATAGGCCACGCCCTATTCTCGGGCCTGCTCCACCTACAGCTGGGCCTCGCCCGACCCCGCGGACCCCGACCCCGCGGACCCCGACCCCGCGGACCCCGACCCCGCGGACCCCGACCCCGCGGATCCAGACCCCTGCCCAGACTCAACTCTCCCCAAACCACTTTCTGCACGTTCTATTCTCACATTCCCAAGCCTGAGAGCCATCATCCCTAAATCCCAGCCTTGTCCTGAATCCTAATCCTAATTGTCCTTCCTTCCTCTTTTCCATCCTTCTGCCCCCAAATCCTCTCAATTGTTTTTCCCTTGTCTCCCTGCCTCAGTGGCTTCTCAGCAACCAGGCAGAACAGGAGCTGCTGCCTAAAATAGCAATTTATCTGTTTAGGTAGTAATTTTACTTAACCATGTCATGGTTAGTGCAGAGATGTATACTGTAATTCTTTAATTCTAATCCTCCCTGTAATACAAATATTAATACTTAGACCTCACAAGGTTGTTAGATTTAAATAAAATAGACTGTTAAAGTGCTTAGAAAGCTGCAAAAAACTAAAATTATTATCACATCCTCTAATACCATTGGTGAGTGGAGAATGATATGGTTCAGGATGTGCTACTTGAAAATATGGCATCTTGTAATATTTTAAGCTTAAAGAATATGGGAAAACAGTAGAAGCAGGAAAATCATTCAAACCTCCTGATCCTTCTTCCCTGGAACAGGTCATAAAACCCTGAGAGGTGCCATCCCTACACCTGGAAGGAATAGCATCCTATCTCTCAAGAACAAATAGGCTTTGGGAGGTCTCCCCCAGTTTGCTACAGTTATCTCATACTCCTTAACCTACCTTATTCCTCCACAACTAACCACTACTCATCAAATCTAGCATAAAAATACTCAGGTCCAACTGTTTCTTCAAGTCTTCATTTCCTTATGAAGGCTCCAGGGTCATGTTGATTGACTGAGTTGTCACATGTAAAACTTAAATAAATGTGTGGGCTTTTCTCGTGTTCATCTGTCTGCCAGTTTAATTTTCACATCCACCCAGGGACCTTACAAGTGCTAAGGAAAACTTTTCCTTCCCCTACAAGAGAAAGCATTCAAATAAAGAACAAGGAACAGTCATTCAGCCAGAAAAGACTACAAACTAGTGTCCTTGAATGTTAACACTACACACTAAATTATTTTAATGAAGTGGCCAGTTAACCTCACCAGTAATGAAACAATCACATACTCCCTGATACTGCATTGAGAAAGACTGTATCAGTTTTGTGGTATTTCTACCAAAAATGTTTAAACTGCATTGGGGTAGGAAGAACCTCTCCTCTACTGGCAAGTTTTTAGCTGGTCTAATAATCAAATAGACGTGAGCCCGATTAACGAGAAAATAACCAAATTTAATACATATATATGTGCGGGAACCACACAAACATGCAAGAGTCAGAGACCCCACACGCATAAGAGGTTCAAAGATAGAAAGGAAAAATGAGTATATGAGATATGCTGAGCTAGGGATGAGGTAAGGTGTCTTGGGGGCTTCAAAGGGTCTTTGCAGGGAAAACAAATGTTTAGTAACTAGTAGTTTGCCCTGCCCTATAGATAGGTCAAAGGAGGTTATCTCTGATAATCTCTTATTATGGTCAAAGCCCCAACTTAAATTCTTCTAGGTAGTTAAGGGAAGGGCAGAAGTTTCTCTTGAGCCCATGGCTAAAGTTGCCTTTAGCTCTAAACAATCTACATACCACAGAAGTACATGTTAGGGTGACTCTTTCTGAAATCCCCCAGTTCCTTTGAAGTTCCTTTGAAACTTCCTTGGAAGTTTTACATTCCAGAAGTTGGGTTGATAAATCGCTCTATATCTCATTAAACCAGTCTCAGTCTTGAGAAAAGTTCAGTTCAGTTAAATAGTTGTGTCTCATTTCAGGAGGAGGTGATGCTGGTGGGCTCCCAAAGTTAGACCTCTGATGCAAGCAATCAGGTATTTAATAAGAGGCATCTCTATGGAAACAAAAGAAAATCAAAGGTTAATGATCAGAACAGACTATAATCTCAGTTTCTGAGTTCTGAAGGCAGGCAATTGAGAAGATTCTTAGATGTGTGTCTCGAATCATCTTCAGAGGAAAGCAGTTAGTCTGATAGATTCTTCTAGTCTGCAGTTTGAATGTTTCTAATGTTCTTTCTGCAACAGGCACAAAGATTGTCCATATGTGAGCTGCTGTGGTGATTGCTCTTAAGTCTTGTTGTCCAACTTTAGCTTGCATGGCCTTGGGAACAGTGCAGTTTCAGTTCTCAGTGATTCCAAGTCAAAGGATGGAAGTAAACTGGAAATAGTTTGGAGTCACAGGCAGACATTGGAGGAGCTAGAATTCAAAATCCAGTCCAGTTTATAAGTAGAAGAAAAAGAAAACTCAAGATAATGAATAGCTCAAGAATCTAATATTCACAAAGGTATAATTTCTATTGAAACATAATTTTTGTCTCAAAAATCACTCCAATTTTTACCAAAGATAGCCAAATTAAGACTTATTTGCAAAATAAGTCATTTCAATAAATTCGGCCTGGTTATTTGTGTAAATCCAGCAAGAATAGTAATTAACCACATAGGCTCTTTGAAAACTGCTTTGCTGGAATTTTTCATAAGGAATTTTCAGATTGAATTTTAAAAGGCCTCTTGAAGCCAGAAAAGCCAAGGCAAGGACTTGCCATCAGACGATGCCTGCAATACCTAGATTTGGATGAGTTCCTCTCTTTTCGAGCTCCCCAAAATATTCTGAGGTTCCTGCATCTGCCAAGAAAGGACTCTTTACTCACCTGGTAAGGCTACTGGAAACCTTGTAAGGCCAACATTTCCAAGAGTTTTTATTATCTCCCATAAGTCAATCTTAAAGCTATCTGGTCATATCTGAGTCTAGGCATGTCTCTCTCAAATATGACATTCCAGTGAAAGCCTTGTTAATATAACTAGTTTCCAACTGTATCCTGTTATAGAACAGATTCTTATTAAACTTGGGCTAATAACAATATTGCCATGAAAATGAGAACACTCACTGCCGCGTTTCTAAACTCTGGAGGGATCAAGTAGGGAGAAATAGACAAATGTTTTAATTCTGCTTACAAAGGTATAATTTACCAAATTACTCTAAGTCTAGCTAGCTTTAGAAAAAAAAAAATTCCTTATATCTGGAAAATAAAAGTTAAAGAACCAGCAATGTTTCAAACAAAAAGTTATAAAAATTTAGTAACCATTCTCAGTTCATTCAGTCCTGTATAATTGGAACTACTTCTGTTTGAATCGTTTTTCTATTAGTTCTCTCAAACTTGCCTGATGATTGATGATCGGGTCAGTGATAATTCTGAGTTTTCAAGGCTGTCATGGCTTATATGATTTGCTCTATGAAGTGGGTTCCGCAGTCACTACAGATTGTTGAAGGAGTACCCCAAGTGGGAAACACATTTTTTAAGTTTTTTTTTTGCCACTGAGGGTATCAGCCTTTCAGTAAGGGAAGGATTTACTCCATCTGGGAAACAGATATATTGATAACCCATACAAAATAGCTGTCTTGGATTTCATTTAATTTACAGACATTGTTTATTATATATACTGGAAGTTTATCACTTATTTTATAATGTTTCTCATGCAATTTAACATATAAAATAAGAATAATTAGTTTAAAAGTTTCTCTAAGGAGAGAAAACAAATCTTTTGAGGTGTTCCAGGGGCTGTTCTAGAGGCCCTTCCAAATCAAGACTCTATTTATAATTTGAACTTGGGAAATTTGTCAAAATATAACAAAAGTTTTGGACATTTGACTAAATAGGATCATAAATCATTATGAAGCAATATTTAATCATCCACTTAAGCAAAGTGACAATAAGATTTCAAAGACAAATATAGTTTACATAACTGTTAGCAAAATGTAGTTCTTACTATTGAAGAAATTCAGTTTTCTTATCAAGGACCAGATTAAGACAATGTAAAACACAGAAAATTATTTTAATAAAATAATCTTTGCTTTCTAGATAGAAAACTGATTCACAATTATCAGTTGCAGACCAATAGACCTAGAAAACTTTGTCCTTTTTAGCAGAGAGGGAAAACCAAACTCTAATTTTACATCAGCTTACTTTTGATATTTAAATTCACTTAATTTCAATCTTATTCAGCTTGACCACTCATAAAATTTCCTTTCTCAAGATTCCTTTTTCATAAACTTTCTTTGACTTTGTGTCCCTTTTAGTGTGTCACGTTCTCTTACCCAATCAATCAAGACCAAATTACTTCACTTCCCTTAACGAAAACACATCTCATACCTTTTTTTCAAACCAAATATATCCTATTTTTCTTGTATACGTAGTTGTTTTCCCTATTATTAGTTTTTGTACCTTTAATCACATATATAGGAATTCTTAACTTTTACAAATGTGAATTTCTAGTAAAACTAAGGAGTAAGCAAATTGTGAACTGTTATGCCAGTATTCTTTTAAATTTATAAACACATAATTTCTAGAAATATATATTTCCTCATAGCACAAAGAAAATTTTTAATGTGGCACAACAAGTTTACTAATAGACCTAAGTATCTTTAGTTCCTCTATTAAGAAGCAAAAGGTAGATAAACTTATGTTCAGTAATTAATGTTTCAGTATTTTATCTTATCTGGAAATGGAATATTCAGTGAACATCCATCATTTCATTTAGATAGCAAAACTTTAGTTTCAAGTTACCAGAGACTTAGGAAGCCATTTTTAAGGGCACATATGTCAACCTAAGAACATCCAAACTTGTAGAAAATTTTTATAGGAGTTTACTAGTTTATTTGAGTCCAACAAAAGCAGGCGGGCTCATTGAGTGGCTGGCTACATTCTAGTTCCTGGTACCAGGCCCTCCTAAGACTACAGCATACTCTGCTTTAGTTCTGAGCTGTCTATACACATTTTTGATAAACACCCTGATTTAAGATCACTTATGTGGGTTTGTTACTTGCAACCAAGTAACAAGTTGCAAGTAACAAACTTGTACTGTACTTCAGTAGCTCCTTGGGTACTACTGGTACTTGGCAGCACTGTACTTCAGGAACCATGTTGTCCCGACTGTCCTCTGTATCTAGAATACTGGTAGCTGTAACTGGGGTTTAATCCATGCCTGCTGAAAATGAGGAGTATCTTTACTGGTCCTAAAGAACAGGTTGAATCTATTTAATTTGGGAGTTATTACCTAATCTTAAATGGAACACTAAAGCCATGTCTGATAGCAATATGAAAGACATATAAATTTCGTGAACTAGTTTCAGAAAAGCGAGATTGTAGAAGCTAAATGTCACTTCGACCTTTCATTCATGAAGTATAGAGGAACATCTTTTGAATATGCAAGTTTACTTTTCCACAAGGAAATATTTATCGCATATTATTAGTGATTATATTTTACAGCAAAATTAAATTAAATACACTTTTCACAAACATAAAATGGAAACCAAGGCATCTATCAAATGTATATGCTGAACCAAAGTTCAGAATTAAGCAGTTAATCATGATTCTGGTCCAGGGCCACCGGTCCATGATTTCCAAAAGTTGAGGATCTTGTCAGTAATTGGAACAAAATCTTCTTTATATGTGACAATGGTTTCCACATAAAACCCTTTTGGGAGTTCAGTTATTTCATTTATTTCACCACCTTAAAAAACGAAATGTGAATTATTAACTTTTAACTTAAACAGCAGTCATTAAAATTATTAGTAAAGTCTTGGAAATAAAATAAACTAAGGTAAGAATTACTTTGCTCAGGTATTTCATTTGTTGAGACATCCTTTTGCTCTACTTCATCACCTTTAAAAAAAAATAGAACACCCAAATTAATAACTTTTAATTTAAACATCAGTCATTAAAATTACTAATAAAGTTTTAGAAATAAAATAAACTAAGGCCAGAATTATCCCCACCCCCATCAGATTCTTGACACCAATTTCTTTCTGTAAAAAAGAAAAATAAATAAAACGTGACCACTACAGACACTAAAATGTTTTTAAACACTCAATACTGGACATGTGTACTTTCAGGCCACTGATAATCTTCATCACCAAATGTAATCTTCAGCATAGTTTTCACATCACAGCTTTACTGAGATATATTTAACATATCATACAATTAACTCATTTAAAATGTAACATTCAACGATTTTTAGTATATTCAGATCTGTGCAACCGGCACAACAATCAATTTTACACTCTTTTCATCCAAAAAATGAAACTCAATACCCTTTAGCTGTCACTCCCCATCCACGACTCCCCTTCAGCCTCAGGCAACCACTAACCTACTAGAAGTATCTATAGATTCCTAGCACGTTTTTAAAGGCTAAGGGATTTCCTTTTCCGCCCAGTAACGGGGATGGTTTTAATAACACTCCTTGATTGGAGTGTTATTAAGTGTTGAAACTGCTCGCCAAAGGTAACGAGGGATGTTACAGAAGCATCACCTCTTTTAATCAGCATCCAGTGTCTTTGAATTCCATCTCGAACCTTATAGATTCTTCATACTCTGAGTATAGGGATGGCCTCATTCAATAAATAAGCAAGATTTAGGTAAGAAGGTTACGAGGTAGCTCCTGGCAGACTCCACTATAACGAATGACTCTAAGCAACAGTTCCCAAGTTTTGCAGAATAAACTTGGGGCTGGAGGCACAGCAAAGCCGCCGGCATGACCCCTGGGTACGCCCCACGGAAGACTGCACGGCGGGTGAAAGGTCTTGCCGAAGAGCCGTACCTGATAACTTGCTCTTTTTCCCACCTAGGAAAAACAAGGAGCCCAACAGGGTCCAGGCGCCCAATGCGTACACCGCTGACATGCGCCGGTACCAAATCACAGCCTGATCCGGACGCATGGCGCCTCTCAGGGAAGGACTCGATCCTCCGAAAACAGGGCTGAGGCGAGCCTTCCGGTCGCCGAGTCGCAGCCGCCGCTGCCTCCAATGGAGAGCGGCCACCGGCCCTGCTTCCTACGCTGGCCCAGATGCATCCTGGGGCCTGTAGTCCCGAAAGTCACGCGAGAGATTGGACACAAGTATGGAACCTGGGGTCGGCTGGCTTCCGTGCTTTGCTGCGAATGCACGACCTTGCATACCGAATGACCTACCAAATGACAAATTCTCTGAACAAACTTCTCATTTGCAAAATGGTAACGTCTGCCTTAATAGCCTTCACATGTTCTTTGTAATGGTTAATTCCATTCCTCCTCTAGCTCTCAGATTCGCGAATTTACCTACCACCTGTCTCAAACCGCAACTCATGTTTCCGATTTCCCCTTCTGGAACCCTGTCTGGGTTAACCTTGGGTCCCTCCACGTCAAAGCTAATCCCTCCGTTGTGTTGTGGGCCCCATTCTTTACTGCTTCCTCCGGAGCCTTTCCCATTAATTACACTCTAACTATCCCTCTGCCACCTCCCACACATTTTCATTTTATTTTTACTCTTTATCATACAAACGAGCCCATATCTCCAAAAACAAAAACAAAAACCTCTCCTTTGACTGTCAATCTTCAGCTTTTCTCTTACCCATATACATTTCTACAAAGCACAGTCTACCCCAATAGGCCAAACAACCTGAGAACAAAAGTGATGTGCTTGGCACACAGTGGATACTCAGTAAATTGCCATATCTAGTAACTACTTTTCAGCCATAATCAAACTTGATTTCTAAAGCATTTAAACCACTGACCCCACCTGCTCTTTTTATGGCTTCAAAAACATTTTCATCGGGATCTCCATATCCTTCAGGGTTCTTTCTACTTTGCTCATCCTCTAGAAGTTGGTGTTTTGCCAAATAACTCTGCGGATCATTGCCCGAAATGTAAAAACTAAAACTACAAACCTAGAAGAAAACATAGGAGAAAAATCTTTGTCACCTTGGGATAAACAAATATTCTTAGAATACAAAAAGCACGAAACAAAATAAATATTGGCAATGGGATATTTCCAAAATTAAAAGTTTTGCTCTTAAAAAGTTAAGAAAATGAAACAAGCCACAGAATATTCGAAGCTAAGAAAATGAAACAAGCCATAGAATATTCAAAATATATATATTTAGCAAAGAACTTGTATCCACAAGATACAATGACCCTCACAACTCAACTATAAAAAGACAACCCAAATAAAAAGCAGGCAACAGATTTGAACACTTGACAAAGGAAGATATATAAATGGCCAATAAGCACAGATACATCATTAGTCATCACAGAAATGTAAATTAAAACCACAATTGGAGTTTACATACCTATTACCTATCAGAATGCCTAAGAATTAGATTGAGAATATAAAGAGTTGTAAAGACTTGAAGCAATCAGAACTCTTAGTAATGGTAACATAAAATGTCACAACCTCTTTACGATACTGGCAGACTTTTTATTTTAAAAAATATTTTCCTATTTCTTTTAATTTTTTATTAAATTTATTGGAGTGACATTGGTTAACAAAATTATATAGGTTTTAAGTGTACAATTCAACAATTCGTCATATGTATGTTGTATTGGGTGTTCGCCAACCAAAATTAAATTTCCTTCTGTCACCATATATTTGACCCTTTACTCCTATCTACCTCCTCCTTTCCACACCTTCCCTCTGGTAACCACTAATCCACTGTCTGGGTCCATGTGTCTGTTTGTCTTGTTCGTTGCTTTCAGTTTTATATCTCACAAATAAGTGAAATTGTGTGGTTCTCAACTTATTTCGCTTAGCATGATAATCTCAAGATCCATGTTGTCACAAATGGCAGTATTTCACCTTTTCTTATGGTTAACATTCCATTGTATATATGTACATCTTTTTTATCCAATTATCTATCAAAGGACACCTTAGTTGTTTCCATGTCTTGGCCACCATGAATAATGCTGCCATGAACATCAGGGTGCATGTATTCTTACAAATAAATGTTTTCAAATTTGGGGGGTAGAAGAGGGACTGCTGGGTCATATGGCAATTCTTAATTTTTTGAGGAATCTCCATACCATTTTCCATAGTGGCTGTACCAATTTACATTCCCACCAGCAGTGTATGAGGGTTTCTTTTTTCCTACAACCTCTCCAACACTTATTGTCTTGTTGAGGATAGCCACTCTAAAAGGTGTGAGGGGATATCGCATTGTAGTTTCAATTTGCGTTTCCCTAATAGCTAGTGCAGTTGAGCATCTTTTCAAATGTCTGTTGGCCATTTGTATATCTTTTTGGAAGAAGGGTCTCCTCAGGTCCTCTGCCCATTTTTTAATCATTTTTTTTATTATTTTAATACTGGCAGTTTCTTAAAAAGTTCAACTACACCTGCCATACAACTCTGGTATTTCATTCCTATTTAGCCAAAAGAAATTAAAACAGAACATCCACACAAAGACATGTATAGATATCCACAGAGCTTTATTCATATGAGCAAAAAATGGAAACAACCCAAAAATCTACCAACTAGTGAATGGATAAATGAAACGTGGTATACTACTTGGCAATAAAAAAAAAAAAAAGGAACTACTGATACATGCAATTGCATGGGTGAATCTCAAATGGACTATGCTAAGTGAAAGCCAAATGCAAGAGAAACCAGACATAAAATTCTAGAAGCAAACTAATCTACAGTGGGAGAAAACTGCCTACTAGTTGCCTAGATGTGGAGAAAGGGAGACTAAATAGTACCTGAAGAAACATGAGGGACAATGGACATGTTCTTGTATGTTGACGGTGGTGGTTGCATGGATGTACTCAATGTGTCAAAACTTACTGAATTGTACACTTTAAATGAGTGTAGTTGTTATTCCTCAATAAAGTTGTTAAAAATAAAACAGAAAAATCAGTATCCTGTTCCAAGCTTGCTTTTCTCACAGCAACTTTGTTATTTTGTTAATGACTCTCAAATCTACAGGTTTCTCCCGAAAGCAAATCCACATCACTGCCAACATGCTGGGTATTTCCAGTTATATCCCACAAGTTCCTTAAACTCACAATGTCCAGGATCCAAGTTATTAATGCCACCCCCCAATAAGAAACAAACCTTCCTTTTCTGTATTTCAGAGGATGGAGACATCACCCAAGCCAGAAACCTAGACTCATCCTCTCATCTAACAACCCATCTGTACCCTCTGTCTGTAAACTCCTGCCTCTGTTCAGACCTCTCTTGGATTCCAGCCTTTTCCTGTCCTGTCACTCTCCTAGAGTTTAGAGTTTCTAAACACATAACTCACAACTTCACACCTTAAAAATCAGAGGTTTTCCTTCCCTTTAAGATGGAGTTCAGAGTCCTCATTAGGCACACAGGGTTCCAGGTCCTCCCTCTTGGGATGGCTGCTCTCCACATTCTATCTGGAATTAGCTGTCTTCTATATTGGCCACCCAGTGGTGCCCCCTCCTCCCCACAGCACCATAACTCACTGTAACTGGAGAAAACAGTTGAGCGAGCTGCATCATCACATCTTCTGTTAATTTGAAACAGAAGCCCAAGGAGGAAAGGTTTCAGCCTTAATCTGTATAGTTTTATGTACTCTTCCATATAATGTATCTCAATGAAAAATTATATCCAGAAAATAAAACTCTATGAAAAAGGTACAGAAAACAAAAGCCCTTGGCATTTAAAATATAACCATTTAACACCTTAAGATAGGAAACCCTCCCAGAATGTAGAGGCAAAAAGGCAGTACAAATTCAAAAGACAGACCATCAGAAACAATTCAGATGGTCCAACATGCAATTAATGGAGTTCTCAGCTTTACTTTTCTACATAGCACTCATTCTAATAAATTATATAATTTATTTCCAATTTTTTTTTTTTTATTGTTGGCCTTCCCTCACTAAAACATAAGCACCATGAGGGCAGGAATCTTTGCCTTATTAGCTACCTTCCCAGTGCCTAGAAGACTACTTCATACATAGCAAATACTTAAGAATTATTTGTGGAATGAATGAAATAGTTGTTCTGAAAAGTTATTAATGAGCAAATTATTTCAAGCTTAGAATTTTATACTAAGCAAAGTTGTCAAGTATGAAAACGAATGAGATTCAGTGAATTGAATTATCTTTTTTTTAGGAAAAGTCATTTAAGATGTCAAAATGAAGAGAAGTAATTCAAAAGTCCAAACAAAAAAAATCCCTGGATGACAGCTGTTATGGCAATTGGCTTATGTTTAAAAGGAACATCAGAGATCCTTAAAAATACTCCATTCCATATAAGCAGCTGAAATTCCTTAACATAGAAAAAAATCTTTCAAAAACAAAAATTAGAAACTCTAGGGAAAACAGCAAATATAAGAACCCGAACAGCAAACCAACCTGTGGAATGCTAGAATGCAAGAAAAGTGATTTTGTCATTAGGAATGTCCTTCGACTGGCATAAGAACTGGGACATCAAACCCCTGGATAAAAATGTAATGCTATGTGACTCGAACATAAACAATATTAACATGATCACAACTGTGTAAATAATCTTTATTGGTTTTCAATGTTCAGAATCAACTTTGAGACAAAAGACATAACTATGGTTATCAGCTAGAATGTAAATTTTACTAACCTTGGTAATACAAAGGTATAGCTAATCAAAACTGAATGGTAGAAAAGTCATCAAATCCTCATTCTTAAAAATAGGAATTGATAGATATTTGGCTAAAACTGATATACATCAACAACAAAAAGCTTGAAAGGAGAGGTTAAAAGCAGTTACTTCTTTTGAGTAAGTCTAGGATTAGGGAGTGAAGGAAACTGTTATTTGTTATAAGCTCTTTAATTTTTTTTTTTTTTTACCATGCATATATTACATTTTGATTAAAAAGTTGTACCTGTTAAAAGTTATTTTACTTGTGCCCAAGATAAATGTATTGTCATTCTGTGAGAGCCGCTTATGCCCATCAGCCACTCTTAAAGTCTACCTGTTTACATGAAATATTATATGTTAGGGACAGTGCCACTCTAGATCACGCTACCTCAAAGTTTCACACATTTCAA